TCAAACCTCAAAAGGTACAGGAATCCCACATAAAACCCAGTGAAAAACTCCATAATTGCATATCTTGATTATAAAAACTCATCAAACAGCCACTTAGCTGCCAATGGTTTGGTGCAATGTACGTTCGTCGCCCTTGCCAGAGAAGGTGCTTTGTGCCCTTTTTTGGAGATTATTAATCCAAGGACCTCCATGGAACGTGGACAAGTCATGTACCTGCCAGAATTAGGGGATCTCCAGCAGAAATAAATTAGCCAAAAGAAACTGGTGAATGGGCATTTGGTTTGCCAATTATCTTGTGGAGTGCATCAAACAGAGTATAAATATTTCTAACACATCAATAACATGTTACATTTCTACAATGGTTTAGTGAGCTGAAAATAGCCACCACTACTGCACACCTACTGAAATCAGAGAAACACAGCCAAAACTTTCTTTTGTATGGTCTCTTCAGCACCCAGAGATCCTCATCAATACTGTCCAAAACAATCATTTAACATTTGATCTACTAGTGTTATATTTAATTTTCATACAGCTTAGTGTTATTTCATTAATTCTATTGTGCAAGTTACCTTATCTCCCTTGAATTTTAATAGCATTCCTGAAAAAAAATGCTTAATTATTTTGCAGTTATAGATTTATCATAAAAGGTTATTGTCTGAAGCAAAAGCATATAATTTTGTAAAAATTTTATTTACTTTAAAAATGGTAGGGAACGCCCTTTCCATTGTAATTTCCCCCAAAAGTTTACAGCGCATTTGCCAACTGGAGTAGTTCCTGAGTGCATCCAGCCTGCAATTAGCATGCTTAATCATGACATAGTGAATATGTCCAATTAGATTATTCATGCAACTACAATATTTCAGAATAATAATAATATTTGTCATAAGATGCTGGTCCGTCTGCAGCTGCAAGTACACTGGGAAACCGATAATTGCTAACAGCTTTGATAACCTGTGTGGATTGTCCTAATATTAAGTGATTAAATTATTTCCAGACCACAGGGAAAAGCAAGAGAGAAGAGAGTCTGGGTGGTCTCAGCTGCGGGATGGACACATAACTGGGTTAGAGTACTTCAAGAATCAAAATTGTACATTGCATAAACTATTAAGCAAACAGCCAGTGAGACTGAAAACTGCTCCGTTTATCCATTCTCCTATTTAGTCTAACTCTTGGTTTATGGCTGGATCATCCACTCTCCATTCCTGTATTAATTAACCCATAAAATGTCAATTAAAATTTGCTGCAGAGATGAAGATAAAGCTCAAGCAAAGAGAGTCAACTTGTTTGAGCAAGTTGTTAAGAGACATAGAAGTGTTAAAAGAGTACACAGATTGTCATCTCTGTTCACAATTGCTTTCCCATTCAGTTCAAGGGAGATAACTGCTAAGGGATGAAGAATGCCTTCTCTGTTGTAGTGAATGGGAAAATCAGCTCACACAGACCATCTGTGTTCCTGCAAACAGCACAATTTCACTAACGGGGGACATTCACATGTTCATTTTATGACTTCTCAACAGTATATTCCCATGTTATATTTTTCTGTGAGCTTTACAGTTGGGCAGTGATTTCAATCTGGGAATTCCACATCAGAGTTTGACACCCTAACCATTGTACAATGATAACTATTTATAACAAATCCAGTTCAGATTTTGATTCTGAAAGCTTACTCCTATACGTGGCAGATTATCTACTTAGATACAGTCACTTGGTAGCAGAGAGGGGCTGGGGCTTCGGGGTAGAGTATCTCTGTTGCATGCAGAAGTCTTCGGGTTCATTGCCCGCCTATTTGGAATAAAGAGTCAGACACAGAGATTGGATGAACTAAGGGCCACTTTATTTAACATATCAACCTGCAGCTCAACAGCAAGAGCAACATGTGACCAGGGGTCATTCCTGACCCCTCCCCAATCGTATAACGGGGAGGCACCCTGCCCCCAGCCCGAGCAAGTAAATGTGGCTCCCACCATTCAGGCACAGCAAGCAGGCAATGCCATGGAGGTCCAGCCACCAAGCCGTACAACTTAGGTAGAGGATCAATCCATGCAGTCCGCAAAGGCAGTCTGCCTTCTTTACCCCGGGTCGCAAAATCCAAAGGCTAAGCCAGCCAGACAACTCTCTCCTCAAACTGGGGTTGTTAATTGGTGCTCCCGTGGCCACACATCACTCACCAGCCCCGATCCAGCCAACTAACGTGACCAGCCTAACAAAAAGGCACCACCCTGGGCCAATTCCACAACCCGCTGATTACCTGTGCAAGGTAGGCAAAAAAACATCCCTGACGCAAGCCAATCCATCAAGGATCAAAAATTCCTACCTGGCCCATACAAAAAGGTGACCAGCCAAAGCCTGCAAAGCGACCAGGGTGGGAGGGTGAGCCAAGCTCTAGGCAGCAACTGAGAGAGTGTGGGAGCAGAACTGGCCATTAAACAGGCCAGCTCCACCCCCAGGAGGAACCTGGATACTGTGAATCAGCATCCTTGTCTGGTCTCCCTCCTTCAAGGGAGGCAAAGGCAGCGCCCGGCAGTACAGCTGGACCATCTGCTGGTAGGGCCAAAATCTCTGGCATCTCCAGTTTAAAAAGGACTGGGTAATAAGGAATTTGGAAGATCTTGACCTGAGACTGCCAGTTAGAATATGGACCTGGAAAGACCAATGGTCTGGCTTGGTATAAGGCACCTTTGTGCGTTCATATCTCTTTGGTCACTAGGTGAACTTAGCTGAACATTCACAGAACATTATTAGCAGGAGTGATCATTACAACAGTGCTCCAAGCCTGGCTTGCTCAAGGCACTAAGTGAATTCATGGCAGAAGTGAAATTCAGACTGTTGTGTAGCTCAGTCTCTCAGCTGTTCTGCTATTGCAGCTCTCAAGGAAAGAAAAGGCATGTTTACTCTAAGTGTTTGAACTGTGAGAGCCCTTGGCTATACCATACATATGTGTACAGGATGTCTGCTTTATTCCTCCTTTTAGAGGACCATCTAATGTTGTGATCACAGAAGCTTTTTGGACAAGCCTTGGTAGGCAAAAGATCAACTGAGCTTCTACAGCTTTGCCCTGTCAGGATCATAGGTAGTTTAGAGAGCATTTTTTGGTGTATCACTTAAGGATAGAAATGAAAATAAACTGTAATCCTGCTGTGCAAGACAGGCACTTATGGAGGGGTTTTTCAGGCACACAATCCCCTGTCTTCTGCCCTGAGACAAAACTCTGGAACTCTTCCAATAGACTACCAAAGAGTTTCCAAAGACAGGAACAAAAAAACTCCCCTGTTATTCCTTTAGGAAGAGAATGGGTTGGATCCAATCACATTCTTTGCTGGTGGAAAAGAGGGGAGTGGTTCCCTTTGACTATCTTTAAATGCCATGCTAAGGATCACAGGATCTGCATGTACAAAAATCATCCAGAGTGGAGTCTACAGTAGAGCAGAAAATTGGGGCGACTGAGTGGGAAAGCTGGCTGAATCCAACGTGATATCTTCATTTACAATAGATTGTTTTAAACAGTGCACTCATTACAGTATTTGAAGGATGAATCCCCAGAATTCTGACAAATCCTGTTTTTACTTAAGCAAATTCCCACTTCACCAAATAACCAAGAAATAAGAAATTATTGGACATTGTAATAGGTAAACATGTCAGTCCTGTGCCTCTGAAGGAACCCGATAGGGTGGCATTATTTTTTTTAAATAAATAAATTTGACTGTCACCTTTCTCCCTATTACCAGAATCAGAGATCTCTGCATGGCTGGCTGCTCACACGGATGTCAGATCTCCCCCTCCCCACTGCTCATTGCCCCCCTTGGTTGTATGAAGACTCTTCCCCCCTTGCCTCTATCTATCATATTTGTGTGGGTCACAAAGTCACTGTACTTCAGAAGCAAGTATGCTGTCTTGGGAAGAGAAGGCGAAGATGCAGTTTGAACTTCCACAATAACACCGTAGCATTTTGCTTCTCTGAAAACAGCAAAATAGCTCACCAAGAGTTCGAGCATTGGTAGTGTTCGGTTCGAAGGCAGGGACAATTTGGGAACAGGCTATTTTGCAAGAACTGGATGATGTGTTACAGGAGGAGCTGTTGATTTTAAAAGTAAGAAGTCTATTCACTTAGTTGTTGCTCACTTTTTATTCCAATATTCAGATAAAAACACACAAGTGTTTAGGCTTCAATTTGCCACTACAAAAAAAAGGACCCCTAGAACTTTGAGGCTGTTCTGTAATGGACATTAAATAAGCATGAGGGTAGAGGATAAAAAATATAGAGCTCTAATATTACACCATGTCACAAATTTAACTTCCAAATTCAGTGTACAGATAGAACAGAAGTTCCACTTACAGTAATGCAAGATCATGAACAAATTTATTTTCTAAAACAGATCATAACATCAATAAAATAACAAAGTGAGTCCAGTGGTACCTTCAAGACCAACAAAGTTTAATTCTTCATGTACATGAAAACTTATACCATTAAACTTTGTTGGTCTTAAAGGGGCTGCTGGTCTCAATCTTTGTTCTGTTACTTCAGAGCAATATGGCTACCCACCTGGATCTACCTTCAATATAATAAAACTGGTTAAATAAATTATGGGTCTTTCAGCTTCACAAAAATATTTAGTTGCCTTATAAAGTATGTCTCTATTTGAATATTACGAGCAAATTTCAATTTATTACACATATTATTGTTACCCTACCATCTCCTCCCAAAGATACATTCTGTTCCTGTGAAATTTGATAATTTTAACGTATTTAGAAACACACCATTGGTTGAATAATTATAACAATCTTTAAACAACCATACAGCATTAAAAAAATACGACTCTATGAGAAATATATATATATATATACACACACACACATAAAACACACATATATGTATGCCATTTTTTAAAGCTTGAATATTTCTAAAATGCTTAAGAAATACCTTGCTTATGCATTAACAATATAGATTTAATCTGAATAGTAGATCACACATTATATTTTTCAAAAAATTAAAAAAGGCTTATGAATAGATTGCAACATTTTGATCTCCAAAGAAACTATGGGTATTTTCGGAGAAAAGTGGGTAGACAAGGGAACACTCCAGTCCATGAACTGTTGCACTGGTAGATCCCTATTGACCTTGAATTTCTACATTTTATCCTGCATCACACTAACTTTTTAAAATACTCAGTAACCTAAGCTCAGGCCTTTTATAGCAATGAAAACCCCATTGACTTCAAATAACTTGTAACAATTTGTCATTGGTTAAAATTTGGCCCATCTTAGCATCAATTCTCAACATAATACCTGCGAACATTGAACACAGAATATTTATTTTGAAAGCATCACTTCCCTGCTGTCCCTTTCCCCAAACATTGTTTTAGACGGTGGTTTTCAGTTAGTTAAGCATTGATCTATGGGTTCCATAGTCTAGTACCATTATCCTTCATGTATTCTTAATCTGTAAACTCTATACAAATACAAGGAATCCCTTGTGTTGTGGAATACCAGCTACAAGTCTTGGCCAAGCAAGTTTATCTCGTCGAGCAGAAAGTCCATGTCCTCACGGCTCACCTGGGGGCTGATAATGACCTGTCGAAAGAAGTTTACTTTGCCACAATGAGGTTGGTATCCCAGCATCATGCTGCCTTTTTTCATCATTCTCTCTTTAATAATAGGTGCAACCTGAAATGTCGGAGAAGGACATACATTTAGAAAGATAACATGGTAGATAAATAGGAGTTTGGAAGACTGAGGGTCATGAACAAATTTTCTTTCTCAATCAGAAGGGGAAAAATAACAACATAATACAACATAACAAATCTTACATATGCTTGTTTAAAGGGAATCTCAATGAGAATTTGACACTCATTTGCATCCAGGCAGCTTTATCACATAGCCTCACTTAATTTTCCTCACGATAGCCCTTATCCCAGCTAGAATTGTGCTTGAAAGTCTCATGATCCTCAGCATAGTCTTTTTGGTGGTCTAAGGGGGAAACCCCTTCCTCCTCTTTCCATTGGATCCTATGACTCATTTTTACCAAGTCTTCCTCCAATGGAAGAAGTCTTCCAAGTCTTCTTTCCAACAAGAAAGAGCTCCTTCAACAGGTGAATATTTGCTTCCTTGAAAGAAAAATTAACAGAAGAAGCCTATAAGACCAGCTTAGAGGATCATATGATACAACTCTTAGACCCCAATCTAGTGCCCAATGAATTCCTTTCTACTGTTTTCATAGGCAGAATTCATTGGCCTCATTCCCACATATGGACACCTACATGCACCAGAGGGCTGTATCTGACAAGCAGAGCACAGGCTAGATCTTGCCTAATTTACTAACCAGTGTTAAAGCCTATAGTGGGTGACTTTGATGTATTGTAAAATTCTGATGTGTTATTAGTAGCAACATAGAAAATCAACACAACAGGTAAGCCATAATTAACATGCACACCTTTAGTGAGCCAGCAAAACAGCTGGATTCTTTTGAAGTCCAATTCTTTTTACTCTATAGTTGCATTGTCATTTAGTAAGAATGAAACACTGCAATGAGTAAATATATCAACATCAAGATAGGGATCTATATTTTTCTGGTACACTGCTTATTTTGTAATTGGATTTGTGTGGGTGTGTTTTATTAGCTAATGTACTGGGCAGAGAAGCGTCCCGGAAATATTGGGTGAAAAGAATCACTTTGAAAGGTAAAAGAATACAAGAGTTAGATTCTATTCTCTGATATCATCAATCTTCAAAACCAGCAGTGCTACTTTAGATTTAGGTGTGAGACAATAAAAACCAGTATCTAATGCTCTTCTTAACCCCCCCCCCCCCCCGGGTTTACATTATAAAAACAACAGCAAATTTATCACTAGTCATGTTGGGCACAGTGTGCAACTAATTTTTCTTGTTGGTTCATGTCCTTAGTCTAGAAAAGCAAAATCATGTGCTACAATTTCCTTGCTCCCTAGCATACTTAGATTTTTTAGGAGGTTTCCCCTTCAGCAGATGTCCCACACCCAGTTTCTCAGCTGTTTTTTTATGTTTCTTTAGTTTAAAAATATTTTCCATACACTCCAGTACCTAGTAGATAAATAGCTCTGGAGAAGGTATATTGGCAGTTTATGGCTCTTAAATCAGCAGTTGATACAATCTCCAGGCCATGATTATGGGGAAAGCTGGAAAAGTATGACATTGAATTTCTTCTCCTTTGTTTAATACAACAGCTATATAACTGTCCAACCGCCCTGGTCAGGTGTGGGGAGCTGAGCCAGTTACCTGGGGTACTCTCCTTAGACAAAGGTGTTAAACAGGGATGTATTCTTGCACCCCTGTTGTTCAATTTATATATTAACGATTTCAGACCTTGCCTTTTGAGGAATGATTTCCATCTCCTGTATTTATCTAAATGAGAAATTCCTATTCTTTTATATGCAGGCGATGCAGTGCTAATGTCCAGATAAGTTGTGGGGATTTGCAAACTGATTAAAAATTTTGAGGACTACTGTAATCATGAATGTCTATTAATGTAGCAAAATCTCAGATTTTAGTATTCAGTAAAAGGAAAACAGAGAAAATTTTTAGTTGTAATATAGCAGGCCAATCTATGGAACAGGTTAATCAATTTAAATTCTTGGGAATTTATTTCAATGCACTTCTTACATGGAAACCACACTTGGACCTGGTGAGAAATGCTGCCTTGAATGTTGGAAGGACAATTGTAAAATATTTTTATGCAGCAGGAGGTGAATTTGTCCCCTCAGCTTTAAAAGTATATAATGCTAAGGTCACAAACCAGTTTTTATATGGTGTAGAAATTTGAATTGACGCTGTCTCTGAGAGAATGGACCATATTCAGTATGATTATTTTCAACGCTTATTGGCTACTCCTAGATGTGTTTCAGGCAGAGAATTGAGAGTGGAACTTGGTGAATAGTCAGTGGAGGCTGGCATAGATAAAAGCATTCCTCTTGAACGTTAAAATCTTAAAATCTGAGGGTGGGTCTACTCTGCTCGGACTTGTACAGGCAGATGTGTGTATTAGCCACTGGGATCATCTATTGGAAAAGAAAATGAAATGTTTAGGAATATCAAATTATATGGTAAAGACTACAGAGATCACAGAAATAACTAGGCTAATTAAAATGTATGGAAAGAAACTGAATACTAATAGTACATCTGTCAGGGCCCATAGGGTATGTTCGGCATCTTATTCACGTATACCCCTCCCAATGCAACTGCCACAATATTTTTATCATTTGACAATACCAAAGCTCAGAAGAGTTTTTACTCTGGCAAGAATGAATGCCCTTCCATCAGCAGTTTTGGAGGGTAAATATAAAAAAGTGCTATATTCAAATAGAACATGTAGATGCTCACATGATAAAACTGAAACAAATAAATATATGATTATG